TCTCTCCGCAACCACGATACACAGGCCAAACGAGATTCGAGTCCCTGGTTGAACAAGGGCAAACATCGCGACGCGTAAATCACCGGAATGATATCGCGTCGCCTTAATCACCGGTTCCATAAACATTTCGGCATGTTTCACGTAATTTTATATTATCACGGAACGAAGATGTAACAGCGTAACATAAAAGACGTAAAGAACTAGCCAGATACGACGATTCCGTGGAAAATATAATTTGGAAAAGGTACGAAAATCGCCCAATTTCCAAACCCCTTTGAAATATAACAAAAAAAATCGTCGTTGTGTGTACGATGCGTACAGTGTGTGGAAAAAGTATCGAAAAAAATATTGTTTCGACGTAACAAGAGAGCCTGGTAACGAAGAACAATGAACACTATGTCCAACACCAGCATTCAACCCCGTGAAGAATGTATGTGCTCAGATTCGATCTCGTATTATATATATATATATATAGTCCATCATGAATTGCAATGTTCGTAATTTTATAAATTTACTTAGATTTCCTTTTTCTTAGGCAGGTTTAATGCTTGCTTATATCTGGATGATAGTTATGTTTGTAGCAGCTCTCGTTTTCGTGATTGGATTCCTGTATCAATTTATTTTTTAAGGTATCGAGAAATATCTATGACGATTGAACGGTTGAAATTGAAACATTTTATCAATAGTGAATTAATTCTTATTCAGGTAATGGAATTATTCTCGTTTGAAATATTCGATGGTAAAATGTATGGTATTCCCTGATTTCTTTAAAAAAACGAGTTGAACGAAGGAAGCATGAAATGCATGAGATCGTACTTATTTAACGAATTTTTAAATTTGTATATAATATGTAATATATATAACATTATGTTTTAATGTACGTTTCTTCTTATTTTTTCGATATAAAGAATTTAATCCAATTTTTTTCAATTTTACCTTTTCACTTGATCGATTAATTATTAATAATATTAAACAATAATTGTACCATAAAATATTTTACCATAAAATATATTGTATTTTAAACAAATGTAATCTTTTTGAATCAATTTATTAAATATTATCGTTACTGTTCAATATTCAATACACGATAATATATATAAATCTTTTTTGTTTTTATATATCTCCCCATTTTCTATCAAAATGAAATCTCGATAAGTGTAAAGAAATATAATATAATATAATATGTAAATTATTCAGTTTTATTTTTACATTTATCCGTTATGGCGCCTCAAAATATGATTTCAACTGAAGGTGAACTGATATAGAGAATCTCGCTCGCAACTCGCACCTACATATTAATTAAAAGTTATCGATACTCGGTCGTCGATCGAAACATGAAGCTAATTTAATTTAAGAATAAAATTCTTTTAAAAGATCGAAGTAATCCCATCTTAAGTAACAGCCGCTTTTGTAGTTTAATTGGACGAGAGAAAGGACGACGGATATGGAAATACCGAAGACTGTCGTTTTCAAACGTGGTTCGAGGCTTCAAAGTGGAGCAACTGTCAAGATAAGGAAAAGTGAATCGACTGCTTTCACGGTTGTGTTGAATTCTGTTTGAGGATCGTGGATTAAGCGAACGGCCCAATTAGTTCGATTCATCCACCGGTTTGATATTTGTACAAAATTTCCATTGACGAAATATTCGTAACGATCAACAGCTTCGTGTTGTTCAACACGATTGGAGGAGTCCCGAGTTTGAAGAGCAAATAAAATTTCACTTTTTGATCGACGCAAATACGCGAATCGAATTTCAATCGTGAAATATTGAATATTTATTTATCACACGAGAAATCGATAATTACTATTGTATGGAAAATAAAGAATTTGTAAACGCTGTATACAACTTCGCGATTAGAGATTATTCAAGTTAAAAAAAATTAAAAAATTATTTCAATATGCATAATCAAAATTTGACTACAAGAGATTCGAAATATCTAAAATATAAATCGTTAATAGCTATTTAAGTAGAAAATATAAAGATGATATTCGAAATACGTAATAAGCAATGCTCACATCTAAATTCATCTTATGTATCTCCAAGATAAATTTCTGGGAATCAAAAATACGTGTTTTCTGGATTATAAATTATGCATATCGATTTAAAAAAAAAAAAGCACCATAAAAGAAAGAATAATTGGATAGTTATTAGGATTTAAATCTTTCCAAATGAAATTATCAATAGACTGTTGCATCGTAATTCATTAACGCCTGTTTAAATCATGTATAAGACAGGTAGCCAGATTCCAGATAAAAACTTGGCTTTCAAAACATAAATCGATAATCTATTGGTTTCAAAAATGCAAATTCGCGTATTGAAATAAATTCCAAGGAATAAAATCTTATTTTTTGAATGACTCTTTATGTTTATTATCTTTATTATTATTTATCTATCAAATTCCTATGTTTTTTAAAATTAAATCATAATAGAAAATTTCAATATTCCCTTTTCCTTAAATCGATTCGAACAATACAACAATATTTAACTAGAAAAATAATTAATATTGTTATCGTGATGAAAGATCGATTGCAACATTAATTATTGAAAAGAAGTTCTACTAAAATTGTTACTGTGACTAAAAAGCCACAGTTAATTAGAAGTTAATAATTAAATTTAAAATGATTAAAATGGAATAATTAAAATTTTAATATTATAATTTAATTAAAAGCTTATAATAACTTTCTCGTTTACAATATCGAATATAAAAATCTAAGTGAAGGTTGTACACGATATTCACGGTATGTAGCATATCCTTGTCTTTCAAGGCTCAAGTACAACTTTTACGATATCCGATTCATTCAAATATCAAAGTATACTTGCATAAGTACATTCCTGAATCCTATAGGTAGATGTTTTGGAATTCAAAACCAGCTTGTATAATCAAAGTACTTTGCAAATACAGAAAATGAAACAATATCTTTTCTGACAAGTAATCGAATCCTATGAAATAAAGGCTGTGTAATAAATACAAAATATTTCAGAAAATGATTCAACATCTAAAAACAGTGAAATAAAGAATGTATCTTATTTGATCTTATTTATGAACCGTAGCAAATTTTCATAAAATATTAAATGAATATTAAAATATCATTCATTGGATCGCTATAATTCGAAGGAATAAGAGCATGAAAAAAAGAAATGAGAAGAATACCAAAATTAAATTCATTAGGCCTTTACTTAACATTTCAAATCCATACAAAAAATATTGAAAAAATAATCACAACTAATAATAACTATGCAATATAATCATTGAAATGTAAAGTATTATATAACCATTTTAAATATCTTCTACGAAATAAAGTGATAATGATAAAATGCAAAACTTGTAATATAAACTTTTCTTGTTATTTCTAGATGTTGAATCAATCTCAGTAATATTTTCTACTTAATACAGAACACTTTATTGATTAATTTCATTTCAAAATCGAAAAATGGACAAAAAATATAAAATACAAGCTCCTACAAATTATAAAAAGTATATAACCTTAAATTTTTAAAAGAAATTAAAATTGTACGTCTTATCTTTCATAAAAATCTTCTAAAAAAAAAAAATAAATCACTTATTTCTATCAAAAATAATTGAAAAAAATAAATAAATTATTTATCCAAAATAAAAATGAAAAAATATCTATATATCGATCATAAACATCAAGACAGCGATATAAAAGAAGACTTAAACCCATAGAAGCTTCCTCTCGAAGTCTCACGTCTAAATACGAGCCCTATCTACCGCACGGATCTAAATCCTTGTAAATCAGAACCATCAGGAGATGGTTTCCAAGCGTACTCGCGATCTTCCCACTTCTCGCGGCCCATTCGTTCCATTAACGGTGAACGTACCTTTGATTTTCAGCCTCTCCGGCCTTCTTAGCCCTTCTTCGATCTCGCTCTCTCGTGGAGGAACACACGCACGCGAGCTCACGCTTATCCACGAGCGTATACGCGACAATAGCGGTACCAAAGTCGTTTTATTGTCGCGCACTTATTGTCCACCACGTATCGCGGCTCGTAAACACTGTCCCGCCGTTGAAAGCATGCTCCGTGGGCAGATTTCGTAATCGTTTTAGAGGTTACGCCGAAGGTTAGCCCTTCTGCCGTGACCACTACTTCCCTGCTCATCATCTTCGTCGTTACGACGCATTGCGGATTTTCGAGGCCAAGGAACGCTTCAACGATAAACAGAATGGCTTCGATACACAGAACTCTGACTAATGTCAACGACATTCCGCGATAGAAAAACATTTCCCAAGCGAAATTTTTTTGTTGTTATACCTTAACGATATAATCGGATCAACTGAATGAAATTCGTGGAATTTTACTTGAGAATGTTGACGATTCTATCTAATTCAACCATGCTTTCAATATTCTAATTACGTTTCGTATAATTTCGACGTATCAAGAATTTTAATATTATTATATACTATTTAATACTACTGATAAAATATTATTATATAAATTTAAAATTTATTTTCAAAGTCAATAATAATAAGTTAAAAAGTTTAAGATATCAGTTTTGATATAGAAATAGAAATAAATCTAATAATTTGTTCTATATATTCTCCTATATGAGAATATATGGAAAAAGTATATTAAAAATACGACACATTTATTTTATAGTCAATTTTTAAATGAAGGTTATTAGCAATGAAATAATTATAACACATGGCATTTATTTATTTTGCCATGTGTTACAAGAGAACAAAGTTATGACTGTTTATAATTTTGCAGCACAGAATCATATATAGCTATTAGAGGTTAAAATGTCGTGTTTGCCGCGTCTTTATCTATTATAGCTATGGACTAAAAAACGTGGTTTTTATAACGCAATACGCCATCGAATAATACGAACTACGAAAATCTTACATACTAAACGCCAATCGAAACGATAATTACGCAAAATTGAGAACGAAACGAAATGGAATTGATCCATGATACGCCTAGACGGTGATAATCGCGCCATTGTGATGAATTAAACAATCAAGTGAAGTTCGTTACTTACCGGTGACGAATGTGTAGAGGTTAGCCACAAACCATGCTTCTGTTCAATCGATTTATGACGATTAGCAGAATGTAAATGTTGAATTGGCAGGATTGTAGAATCGAGGTGGCCCGGGACAACGATGATTTTCAGTCTTTTTCTCCAAAAGGCACAAATGTCACCACATCGAAACACGACTCACAGGATCGAGGGGTCGGCGTGTCGTAAATTGCGTCGCAATCGTTCGCGTCTCGAACTTCGTTATACGCGGTGTGTCAATGAATCGAAAGGAAAACACCGGGAATTTTGGGGAGTGGATATAACTGAACGTGAGCTTCGATCGATGTCCGTGCGCAGACTGCCCGCACCTCGGCTGCTGCCGGGCGTTCGTCATGTTGCGGTCTTGCTGGGTCTTTGTCGGTCTTGCTTCGTCTCTCGCTCGGTTACACTCGGCTTCCCCACTATCGTCGATTGTACCGTCTCACTTGCACGACGCGCGCACTTCCCCCTTCGAAATAACACTCAGTTTCGCCGTTCGTTCGATGCCACGACCGAGCATCGAACATTTTCCACCGTTTTCCACAAATTCGCACTGTACAACGTGGATTCGCACGAGCTTTTCCATTTATAATGGCTAGCAATTCGATGCGTGCGCAGCAGTTTCGATATATCGTTCCGCGCGCCATACCGTCATAACTGCGAGTTTCGAGAAGCGGGCTTTCCAATCGAGACTGTTCGATAATTGGAAACAAAATGGGCGGAAAATGCTCTCATTTCAAATTTAATAAATTGATTTCGGCAACGATTTAATGATTTGCCGAAATTATGAGAAAGAAAGCGTTTCTTTATAAAGAATCTATAAAGTTTTTATTGTTTCTTGAATTCTTATTTTAAATTCAGATCTTTCAATGAAAAATTCTACAAATTTTTATTTTGTAGTTTAATATTTCGATGATTAATAATAAATATATTTTTAAGTATATTTTTCACTTATTTTGAAATTATTGAAAAAATTAAAAATTGTTTTGTGTTTCTTAAGGATTGTTTATTTTCTTTTTGAATAAATTTATTGCAATTAATTTTATTTTTTTTATTATTCAACTAAATTTGTGTAGGTTGTACAACACAAATCTTTTATTTATTTATTTTACAAAAAAATCTATTTTTAAAAATTCCCTGATTTCTAAATAAATAATAATAATAAAACCATTAATTAATTTTTTTAACATATTCATATTATTTTCAATTTTATAATATAATTTTAGATTTTAGTTTCTATAGTTATTTTCGATTATTTTATCTTAATCCATCTTCTTCTAAAATGATTCTTCTAAAAACAGATTTTTTTTTCTGTATCTATATTCCTAAAATGCATTTCTATTGCAAAAGATAAAAATGAAATTGAACGTTTTCCGTTTTCCATAGATATTATCCGCATATTTATGTATGCATTCACAGTGCAATCTACAATAATTTATATTCGATTTCTACTTGACTACTGAATCCTGCTGTGTACATATCATGTACATTATGTCAACTACATATGCCATGATTTATGGTTCTGTTCAGAACAAATAAGTTTTCTGTATTCTGTATTTTTATATTTACATATTCCATTGAATACATCGATAAGAACATAAAATCTCAAATACCTGTTTTTCTATAACAATGGATCTATTATTTCCATTCACGTTTTCATCTTATTTCTTTCTAAAAACAAGATTTCTTTCTAATTGAATTTCAATCATTATAATTATCTTAAATTCAAGTATTGATCCATTAAACTTTATACAATTATTTATATTAGATTCGTTTCGTTACAAGAAATTTTTACCGCTTTATAATTCTGTTTCGTTACAGCTTTCAATTTTAGAATGAGATCTTGTTACAAATAGATTAATTTCTAATCGATCTAAAATCTAATTCGATAAATCTATCAATGTTTTCATGTATTTAGATATTTTTAGACATATCGATATTACGATATGTGGTCTTTTTCTCATCTCTAAAAGGCCATATATATGTATATTATTACAAAACCAAAAGAAAAAATGGAGGATATATAAACAATTGCAACATTTATTGGTTAATGTTCATTTAAAATGTTCAAGTAATCTTCGCCACAATTATCGAATAAACGAACGATCCAGTCAGACAGCTCCTCGAGCAAAGTGTTGCCTAATTTTTCTCCACCAATCCTGAAAAAACAAGAAACATTAACAAAACTACACGTTACCATACGTTCATCATCAACGTCACTTATCGCTAGTGATGGGATCAAGTACATCGTAAGTAAATTCGAAAATTGACAAATTCGAATCTTTTATAAAGTTTCAAAATACGACAAATTTGAATCCAGAAGAAAAAAAAAAGAAATCAAAAGATCGATTTAATCGCTATCTTTGACTATTAGAATTCTCATATGATGTTCTACATTATATCTGTTTCATTATTATATTTCATTCGCATTTGTTTTTTAATAAAATAATATAAACAGCAATTGTAAATGAAAAAATTAAAATAAATTTAAATCTTTCTGATTCCTTACAACAAACTTTTATAAATTCTAATTATTTACAGATTCACGAAATTTATAAGAGTCTTCAAAACCCAGCCTACAAAAACCGAATAATCAACAACCATCAGAATAAGCAAATACACTTTACTAATACTAACAAAACTTTTCACATTAGCAATTTGATTTCAGATCCATCGGTGCACGTATCGAACTTGATCCCATCACTACTTACCACTATCAAGCTAATATTCGGGGTAATTGTTTAATACATACCTTGGATCGCCTCCACTCGGCATCAGCGCGAAATTTAATGGCACGTGTTTACTCATTCCATCGTGCACTCGCGATCTCGTTAATTGGCCCGCGGCGCGCATTCATTGATTAATGACGACCCCTCCCATCCAGTTTTCATAATCATCGGGCTCGATTCGTATCCTCCCTCCCTCTCTCCCCACACTTTGGCCCGACAATCGACGGATAAAAGGGTCGTTAAAAAAGAGATTGCGATGTATAGTCCTCCCCCCTCCTCCCCTCTTTCCTCGTGGCGACACACAAGCGACAATCTCGCCTTTCCGCGCCGTGAATTCGCGTGTTATCGCGTCCCCTTATCGGGCGCGTGTCGTCGCTTGACGCGAATAGAAAACCGGATGGATCAGAAATCGACGGGGCCCATTGTGCGACAAGGTGGATCGTGAATCGAGGCAGGAAGCACGGGGTAATAGGATATTTCCAGGCACCGACCCCATTTTCGCGTTTTTACGGATTCGAACACGTCCTGTAATCCAATTGGCCGAGCGTTTTGCTCTGCGGCCGAGAATCGAAATTTTGAAAGAACTTTTAGAAGAAAGAAGTTTTAGAAAAGGGGAATCCTTGGTGTGAATTTATTTATTTTTTTCCTTTCTTTTTTTGATCAAATATTAAAATTGAATAATATTTGTTGTTCAGTTTTCTGTGGCACGAAGTGGTAGCAAGTGATATCTAAATTGAGATTTATCGCATCACTTTTATCATGTTTTAAATTTTTGAAACATTCTCGAGAAGGATTGCGATGTGATTTTTTGCGTTTTTGTTGAGAAATTGATGGAGTCGATTACACGGACAGAAGAAAAAATGCAAAAAGGAGGAAAGGACAGAAAAATCGATCAGATCGGATAAAGTGTAAGCGAATGTGGGAAAGTTCGTGATGTAATAAAAAATTATCTTTTGATGGACCCACATCGTTAGTCTAACCAGGCCTCTATTATGCTTTCGCTAGGAGAGAGTGTCATCGATCTTCCGGTTAAAGTTACCATCTTTTCATTTTGGAACAGCCACTCGTCCTTCATGAATCTCAAAAGCTACGTGGTGAAACTGAATTTTAAGAAGGAAGAGACGCGTCACGTGTACAGATTTCTCATAGAGGACGATTGCCTCCTTTGTTCTACATCAAGCTTAAATGGGTTTTTTGATAACAAATAACAGTTACGTGTGAGATAATCATAAAAAATGAAACGCGAAAAATTATAGGAGACACTGATGAATGAATGAGTTTAAAAAGATCGAAAATGAAGCATCCTTAAATGATGAACAATAAGCAATAAATCAGTTTTATTATCCCGCGTCACAAGTATGAATAATTGTGATTTCTTAATTACTTCTTGTAGACGATAAGTAATAGTTTTATTTGCATCGTGCAAATAATTTATTAGACAAAATCAACTTCTTTAATATTTTTATTTGCAAAAACTTTAAACTAATGCATCTTTAAAAAATTCTTTAAATATTCTTTTTAAATAGAAAATATAGATATAATAAGCAATATAGTGAATTCCAAAATATTTCTGTACAAGAAATATACTCTTTATATTCACATATCAGTGTCACATTCGTAACCTGATATTTCCATCGTCAAAAATTCCATCAACATTAAATTTATCCATGTAAATCTTTTTATCATCTCATAATATACGATAAATAAAAATGATCATTACTGTAATTATCGATTATTGTCGATAAATTTTTTTCTCATAATTGAACTCTCAAGTTCTAAATTAAATTAAATTCCATACTATTAAATTTCTATATAATGCAACAATAAAAATAGCTCCAAGTCTTAACAATTCTTTTAACTTATTGCTATAATTATCAAATTGGTTGTAAAATTGTCCTTTTCATGACCGAACGTTCAAACTAAATTATCATGCGATGCAGAGTTATCCACAAACCGCTTAAAAATCAGTAACTACAATCTCCACTCTTGGATGAAGATCCAAGAATCTTCCTGGAAAAATAATCGTAATTGACATAACTATGCGTCTCGTTCAATTTCGACGCCGTCTTTGTCTTCGAAATTTTGCGTCGCAGTCTGGTAAATCATAAACGTCATATAACTGACCGTAAAACCGTGCGATTGCGGTCGTAATTCTTTTCTGGTGGTACCCGACCACGTGGCTTCCCGACTGATTTTTCAGTTTTCACTACGCGGAAGGTTATTGAACGTGTCGCGGTGTGCCAAGGTAAACCGAGTGGAACGAACGGCGAAGACATGTCTATTGTTAAAGAGCAAGGCGTTCTCTGAACGTCGTTTTCCATGTCCGCAATTGAGTTTTCACCTCGACATCCCTCATTTTCATCATAAAACGCGTTTTAATGCCTCTAGAAGTTATACCCGTGGCTATGGTTTCCTAGTATTTCTCCTTTTACTATTAGATAGATATAAAAATAAATATATATATATATATATATAAATCTTTGGCATTACCGTTTCGATTATATAAATAGATTTACATTCGAGGAATTGGATAGATAAATAAAAAAAAAAGAGAAAAAAAGGAAATAAGATATCTTAAGTAGCTGAAATGGGAGAAATTGTTGGTTGAACGGTATAATTGGCTAATATGTTGCTTCCTTTCCAGTCGACACAATGTTGAATCGAAGATTTTGAAGCGTTTGAAGATGTTCAAGTAAGTACACTCGGGATTAATATGTTGAGAGTTATGAGATTCAACGGCAATTGGCATCTTCTTAACGCGATAGGGGTTTGTTTGATAGCTATTATTAG